AACCTCTCTCCCTCTGCCCCTCCCCCCACACACTTGCTCCCGCTAAGATAAATCTTTCAAAAAAAAAAAAAAAACCGATAAATGATGGATATTATGTGAATATTTTATTGCCTCTGTAATTAACAGCTCTAGGACAGATTCCTAGGAATGAAATTAGTAGGTGAAAACATAAGAAAATTTAAAGCTTTCAGACATTACTGAATTGCTTTCCACAGAGTTATACCAACTTAGACTTCTGCCTGAAACATAGGAAAATGCTTGTTTTAAGGTACTCTTGCCACCATTTAGAATTTCTTTTTAAATTTTTCTCATTTGCTGGTATCCATTGCCTAAATGATGTTTATTTTCTTTTCACTGCAGGTAAAATTTAACATTTAATTATAAAATCTGCTTATGTTTTCTTTTTCTAGGATTTTCTCATTCATATCTAACACATCTTGTATATTCCTTATTGATTTGAATCCTTTTACACTAAAATGTCGACTCTGACGTGTCTGCACCTATTTTCAATTTTTAATTCTTGTACCGTTCCTTTTTCCATTATTTTTACACTTAAGAAGTTGTTCTTTACCCAGTATTAAGTATTTATTAATTTTATTTCCTTGTTAACTTTTAAAAGTCTAACTACTCTACTGGAATTCATGTTAGTGTATAGACTAAAAATACCCTGATTTCTCTTCGAACAACATGCCAGAATCTCTGTGGCAGGCAGGCCAAATCTCAACATCTACAGATGCCCCTCTAAGGAAAGAGCTCCAACTACCCATAACCCTGTGCCCTGACCTCAGATGAACAGACCACAGTTGTAGGACTCTACCCTTTGGGTACCGAATGAGCTCTAGAAATATGGAAGAGGAATACAACGTTAGAGGTAAAGCAGCCAGGAACAGTTACATTTAAGCAGAAGGAAAGCGGCAAGAAAAATAATGCAGAGGAAAGTGCAAAGTTTGTTCTCAAATTTGTCCCTTCAGTGGAGAAACACTTACCAAGTACCTGCCAGGAACCAGGCGCTGTACCAGGCTACGAAGATATAAAAGTAAAGGAGCAAGCTGTCTAGAACAGAAGACCAGTGGCTGCAGTGGAGATGTGGATTGATAAGATTGGAAAAAGTAAACTGAGGCCAATAGTAGAGAGATGTGAATAAAAAACTAATGAGCGTGTGCTTCCTGGAGACCAGGGCAGGCAGATAATGGCATAAATAAAATAAGACTGCAGCCAAGGATTAGCTGACAACATTGACAGGAGGTAGAGCCTGAGAGAAGGGAAAGGAACAATTACAAGTGTGTTCTAAGAGTCTTAGCCCGTAATGACCTGGAGCTACGTAGCCCAGGGGGTGGTGGGAGCAGTAAGTGAAGAATGCATAGGAGGTTAACATGAACCACCACAAAGGAAGCCAGGAAGAACAGGAAGAGAATAAGTAAAATAAAAAAATGCCATTGAAATCTCTCTTCTCTCCAGAGTGGGAGAAGGAGAAGAGACAGGGTATACAGCAGCTGAAAGAGAAGGTGGGTGAGAACCTCCTAACTCAATAGTCTTTCCCACCTTTGGCATTTTGGGCCAGGCGAATACATCAGCCATTCAAGAAATTAAAAACTTAAAAAATAAAAACTAGAAAAAAAACTATCACAATGACCAAGTTCTGTGCTCTAATGACTAAAAAAGAATAGTCACAGATAATCTTTGAGGTCCAGAGAGAGCCAGTTAAACTCATTAAGACTGAGTTCCTACTGGTATGATCAAGGAGAAGTAAGAATCAGAGGAGATATTCAAGGAGGAAAACAGAAGATGATGAAGTCAAAAGTAGGGTGTAAAAGTTGCCCTTGGAAAGGGACGACACTACCTTTTTCCAGGTCTGGAAGGTGAAAGGCTAAATATAGCAATGGAGAAGCAGCAAAGGAAAAGATCAGATGGCCTTGACTCAGTAAAAACAGGAGTCAAAGTCCTCTTCCCTTTGCAGGGAGGAAGGCCAGAGGGGGACAGAGAGGGGTACCAGAGGCTTGGCGTGGTGAGGGGAATCCAGAAAGTCAATTTTATTTTATTTTATTTTTTTTAAAGATTTTATTTATTTATTTGAGAGAGAGAGAGAGCACATGAGAGGGGGGAGGGTCAGAGGGAGAAGCAGACTCCCCGCTGAG